TGCCCTGGTCATGGTGTCTCTTCCCAGCAATAAAATCCTAACTAAGACAGTGTCTTTAATGCTGTCTGTAATATTCCTTTGAAATCTTTTTAATGTCTATGTGACCAGCATTCATTTCTACTATTAGTATTTGTGTCTTCTCTTCTTATTAGCTAACTTGACGCCATGTTAATTAGTGTTATTGATCTTTATAAAGAGCCAAATTTGGAGTTTGTTGATTCCCTGTTTTCAATTTTATAGATTGCTGCTTTAATTTTTTTTCTGCTGCTTCCATTTTTTAAAAGTATATTTCTTTTGAGACATTTGTTAATTAGAATGTGTTGTTTAATTGTTTTGGTGGGTGTGGGTCCAGTTATCTTTGTGTTAGTGATTTCTGGTTTAATTCAAGCAGATAAAGACAGGGGGGCTGGAGAGATGGCTCAGCAGTTGCTGCTTCTGCAGAGGACCCAGGCTTGTTTCCCATCATCTGCATGGCAGCCATGACGGCCTGAAACTCCAGTTCCAGATGATCCAAAGCCCTCCTCTGCCTCTGTGGGCACCAGGCATGCACACGGTGCACATACTGACGTGCAAGCCAACACACATTAAAATAAAAGCACATAAATTAAGAAAATAGATAGACATATGAAACAGGCAAGTGACCCTGGAAGCACCCTCATTCAGAAAGATTTGGGGAGCCCTTCCTGGCCCTTCCAAAGTGCATCCTGAGAAGTTCTGTATATTTTTATTACATATGTTGATTATAATATAATTAATTAATATAATTAAATGCAATTAATATAATGCCAATATATTTGATTAAGCATATTATCTTCTTACTGTCTTGGTATACTCAACTGTTGCTGCTTGTTCTGAGCCACACAGGAAATAAACACCCTTTGATACAAACACACTTTAATTATTTTTCTGGTTTGGAAGTCACAGAGGCTGTAACATTTTAGTTTTTTTATGTAAACAAACATTTATGTGTTTCTCTTTTCTTATAATAGTCATTCATATTTTAACTAAGACAAAAGTTTATAAGCTTTTTGTCATTATTTTATTTTAAACCTTTTTTGAGAATTCCACACTTGAGTCATTTCTAAGCAACTCTCTCCCCACTCCAGTTCCTCCTGTGAGTCCCACTCAAATTCATGATGTTTTCTTCTTTTATTATTATTGTAACATACACACATGTATGTATAAGTACAATCTGCCGAGTATATTGAGTCTCCCTAGGTGAAGAGCTACAGGCAACTATTGACCGTTAAGAGGAAGAGAATCAATCTTCTCCAGGGATGGGAACTCTGATGTATTTATTATCCAATCCCAAGTGGTCATCTTTACACACATAATATACTTAAGAGTTTATAAAAATTTTAATCAACAAAATTTTCATTTTTCCTCTTAGGAACTTCTCCATTCAAACATACATGAAGAGACGGTATAATGACCTATAACCCCAGCACTCAGGAGAGGGAGGCAGGAATAGCAGAAGTTCAAAGTCAGGCTTCTACATGCTTGTACGTACACATGCACACATATATGTGCCCATGATGTACACACATATACACACAAATTTAAAACTTGCATATATATTCATGAAAACATAATTTGTCATTTATTAGTGTTTTCTTATACATGTCAAGCATGTAGCAATTCAGACTCATAAGTCTGATGAGTGAGATATTTTTACCTCTACTAATAACTGACTGTATCACTCCAAAATTTATGTATTGAAGCCCCACTATGATGGTATTTGAAGATGGGGCTGTGAGAAATAATTGGGTCATGAGGGTGAAATCTCCACGACTGGATTAATGTCTGCATTATAAAAGAGAGATAATGGGAGAACAGGAATGCTCTGTTTGTATCTCACAAGGACAAAGACAGGGCGGCTGCTGTCCGTGGGTCAGGAAGTAGCCCTTACCTGACACCAGATCTTCAGTGTTGTCCTTGCTTTCTGACCCCCAGCACTGTGACAAATGTTTCACTGTTCTTGTGTTTTGCTTTGTGGTGCTAATGGTCAAATGCAGGACTGAGTTACATCTTAGTTCCTTAAATGTTTGTTACTTAGGTTACCCGGTCTAAACTATTATTGCTGTAGCAACACAAGCTAGGACAAACCTTTGAAAAAGTATTTAAATTTTTGTTACATCAAACTGATGTGTTTAGCTTTTGAAATGACTTAACATATTCCAAACGTCCTAAAAAAGTGAAAAGTAAGCATGTTACTGGGAGCAGGTAATACTTATAAAGCTTACACAGCTCATTCTTTCAGACAAGAGAACCAGGTTGGGAATGGGGCTCATGGCGTGGAGAACACAGAACACACTCTTCCGCTCCGGCTCTAATTCTCTCTTACTGGAGTCATTACAGAATACTGTGTATTGAGGTCTAATGGACCCTTGAAATCTTGTTTAAGCTATAGACAACCGTATGCCACATAAGACTCTTAACTACGTCACTGATTGGAAGACTTGAACATTTTTGAAATTCCAATATGCTTTGTAGCTAGAGTTTTCCTGCCTGGCCCACAGTCAGGACAAATCTCTCTCACCTGCCAGTCCCACAGCTGCTCAAACCCGACCAAGTAAACACAGAGACTTATATTGGTTACAAACTGTATGGCCGTGGCAGGCTTCTTGCTAACTTTTCTTACAGCTTAAATTAATCCATTTCCATTAATCTATACCTTGCCACATGGCTCGTGGCTTACCGGCATCTTCACATGCTGTTTGTCATCATGGCAGCTGGCAGTGTCTCTCTGACTCAGCCTTCCACTTCCCAGCTTTATTCTCCTCCTTGTCCCGCCTATACTTCCTGCCTAGCCAATGGCCAATCAGTGTTTTATTTATTGATTGATTAATCAGTAACACATTTGCCATACAGACCATCCCACAGCAATGCTTCATGACATGTAGTTCCCAAAAATATGCCCTCCATTTGACCAGCTCCATTTGTTGAAGATGCTGCCTTTTTTTCCCTCAGTGTGTATTTTTGGTTTTGTAATAAAAAGAAAATCAGGTGTTCATAGGTGTGTGGGTCTTCAGTTTTGATTGCATTCATTAACATGTCTGTTTTTGCGCCCAAACCATGCTGTTTTTATTACTATAGCTCTGTGGTACAATTTGAGATCAGGGATGGTGATATCTCTAGCATGTGTTTGGTTATGCAGTTTTGCTATCCTGCTTTTTTTTTTAAATGTTTCCATATGAAGCTGAAGATTTTCCTTTCAAGATTTGTGAAGAAATGTGTTGTGATTTTGATGGGGATTGAATCTGTAGATTGCTTTTGGTAGGATGGCCATTTTTACTATATTAGTCCTACTAATCCATGAGTATGGGAGATCTTTACAACTTCAGATATCTTCTTCAATTTCTTTCTTCAATGACTTAATGTTTTTATCATGCAAATCTTTCTTTTACTTGCTTGGTTAGAGTAACCCCAAGATACTTTCTAGTATTTGAGGCTGTTATGAAAGGTATTGTTTCCCTGATTTCTTTCTCAGTCTGTTCGATGTTTATGTTTGATAAGGCTACTGATTTTTTTTTTGAGTTAATTTTGTATCCAGCTCTTTCCTGAAAGTGTTTATCAGCTGTAGGAGTTTCCTGGTGGAATTTTTAGGGTCACTTATATATACTATCACATCATGCTCCAATAAAGATTCTTTGACTTCTTCCTTTCCGGGTTGTACCCCCGATTTCCTTCAGGTGTCTATTGCTCTAGCTGAGACTTCAAGTATGGAGAGTGGACAGCCTTGTCTTGTTCCTGGTTTAGTGGACTTGCTTTGAGTTTCTCTCCATTTAATTTGATGTTGGCCATAGGCTTGCTGTAAATTGCCTTTATTATGTTTACATATGTCCCTGGTATCCCTAATCTCTCCAGGACTCTTACCAAAAAGGGGTGTAGGATTTTGTCAAAGGCCTTTTCTACATCTGATGAGATGATCATGTGCTTTTTGTCTTTCAGTTTGTTTATATGGTGTATTACATTTATTGATTTACATATGTTGAACCATCCCTGGGAAGAAGCCTACTTGATCTAATTCTTAATTTTCTCTTTTCTCCTGTTTAAATTTTTGACCTGAGGCTCAAATGCCAGCGTATCTCAAAATCTGTAAAGTGCAAGTGCTAATTATGCTAACAGTTATGTTATTACTATTTTTATTCCGGTGAGTCTCTACCATTTGTAATGGGGTGGGGTAGGACAGCCTGAGAAAGTACCGTTCCCCTCTCTGTTACCTGTACAGATATTGGAGGAAGCAAACAAACCACCGAGAATCGGGCTCAATCACACTTCAAATGCCCCCCTAGACCTCTGGGATATGTCTTCAGATTCTCCTAGAGTTGGGTTAATGGCCCTCCTCTCGGTGTCCAAAATAAAATGAAATTAAAAGCCACTTTAAAAAAATGGCTTGCGGATGGAGACACGGTTCAGAGGTTAACAATACTGGCTGTTCCTCCAGAGGACGTGGGTTGGATCCCCAGAACACACACAACACTTCTGTAACTCCAGTCCCAAGAACCTAAGACTCTCTTCTGGCTGCCAACAGTACTGCACACACATGGTGCACAGACACACCTGCACTGCAAAATACTGACACAAATAAAAACATTTACGGGCCCTCCCACTTTGCTCAAATTCTTACCCAAACAGCCTTTCTTAATTGCATCTGAGAGCGGGTGGAGCGCACCCAGGTCCTTTATCATTGGAACCACCTAGCACATAGTAGGATCTGTATCTGTGCAATGATTGACTTGCCAAGCACGCTGGGCATGGTCCCTTGGTGACTCGTGAGCAACAATGCGGCTCTTTGCAGACGCTGGGGGCGAATTCCCGCTGCTGCAACCATGCAGGTGGTGTCCCTCACCTCTGCTGTGCGCTTTTCCTTCCTGGGGTCTGCATTCTCCGGGTGGCGACCGTCGCGTCGCTGTGGCGACCAGCGAAATGCGGGGAGGGAACTACATTTCCCAGCTACTCCGGTGCGCGCGGCCGGGTGCGGCGCGGGGTTGGGGGGGGTTGGGGGGGCCAAGTGCACCAGGCCCGCTGCGCACCCAGCTCTGCTCCCCGCCGAGCTGGCCGCCCGCCCCGGCCTCCGCCTGGGGATGAAGTGGGAGGCGCTAGAAGCCACTTAGCTCCAGCCTGGCGCCCGCCCGATGCGGCGCTCGCTCGCTGCCCCCGCCACCCAAGCGCCCGCGAGGCACAATGCAGCACTGAGGCAGCGGCGGCTGCGGCAGCGGCGCGGGCCGGGAAGGGGCGGCGGGGAACCGGAGCCCGCGGCCGGGGCACGAGCAGCTGAGCGCCGCCACCATGCAGGCAGCGGCGGCGGCCGCGTCCTTCTGGCTGCTCTGCGCCTTGGGGACCTGCCCCCTGGCAAGCTGCGGTCCGGCAGGTAAGTTCGCAGCTGCCCGGGCTGCCAGGACTCTTTGGAGCCCCGAGGCCCCCCGAAAAGCCGCATCTGCCTTTCCACAGTGCGCGGGTTTTTTTATTTTTATTTTTTGAAGGGCAGTGAGAAAGGAGCAGACGTGTGGGGGCTCGAGGATGCATCAGCAATCTGGGGTCAAATGCCTTTTTTTCCCCTTGAAGAAGAGGAAAATGGGGAGAATGGGAAAGGGGTGCCCTGTTTCTGGGCCCGGGGATGCTCTCGGATGAGCTGGTCCAGAGCTCTCCAGCTGGTGTCTCTGCGTCCTTCCCAGATGGGTCCGGGAGGGAGGAGGCGGGGGAGTTTTCATAGGGGAGATACAGGGTGGAGGACTGTGGGTCAGGGTAATTATTGTTATTATTATTATTATTACTATTGTTATTTGCCGTTTCTCTCTACTCCTCCTGCCCTCCTGCCTGCCCGCAAGGAGACGCCTCACTGAGGGAGCTGGAGAGGGCGGACGCAAACCGCTTCCTGGAGCGCCAGAGCACCGTGCCACTGCGCCTCATCTACCGCTTGGGCGGCGAGGACGAAACTTGGCACGACCGGCTCAACACACGGGTGCGGGGCCACCCTGGCGGCCAGCAGGTGAGCGGCGGGCGGGGTGAGGGAGGTGGTCTGTGGCGCAGCCCCACGACCCCACGTTTGCTTAGGGTTGCCCTGGAGACGCGGTGCACAGGGTGAAAAGAGCACCGTCCTAATGCGACTCATGCATGATGCTCCTGGTGCAAGAAGGAGGAGAAAAAGAGACAGAGAAAAAAAGGAACCCACAGAAGCACAGGCCTGGGGTTTTGCAGAAGCGGGGGTTGGAGGGGATGGCGTGGGTACTCCTGGTAGCCCAGTAACCTGAGCGAGAGGCGAGAGGCGGAGACCCCATCTTCTTAGTCAAGCAAAAACTGCACGAGGTAGGAGGACATTCTGTTTGGGTAGGATTGCATCATCATCTTCGTTGTTTTAACTCTGAGAGAAGGCTTTATAACACAAGATAAGAAGAAAGAAGGGAGGAGAAGGAAACTAGGCATCCCTAAGAAACGCAAACAAAAATAAACTACGTTGCAAAATCCCCTGCCCACTTAGATTCGTGAACAACAGAGATATACCCGTTCACTCCTGACTTCCATAAACCGGTCCTTCCTACCTTTTTTACCTTTGTAATTAGGGGCTGTATTGTTATTGAGCACTTACTTTCTTAAAAAACAAAACAAAACAAAACTAATTCATCGCATTAATCAAACAAATGTACCTGCATCAATACCAAACATCCATAGATACGATTGAAAATCATTTTGAAGTTACTGGCTAATTCTAGCAGATATTTTTGGGCCCATGTAAGTGTTTTTCTGGTTGCATGATCAATGAGCCTGACAGTTCATTGATCTGCAGGACATCTGAAGCGCATGTAGTTGGAAATGGTTGTAAACTTTACTGAAGATAAGCTGGACATTTTCATATCAAATACACTCGACACTACGTAACTGTAATGTGCTAATGTACTCAGTTATTCACGTGTGTGAGATATATAAAGACTGAAAAATGTTTGTCTGTATTTGCAGCCAAATAACTGGCTCCATTACAGTTTTGACCTAGGCAGAGATTCAGGGTTACTTGTAGTATCCATTGAAGTTAGATGATGTAGTAGAAAACTTTGTATGCCCATCCCTTAATGAAGGATTTTGTTATCCGAATTAATGTTTGGCAGCTGCCTGTGTCTCTTCTTATTTTGACTTGTTTTCATGGAAGAACTACATAAGCAGGGGACTTGTGTCTTATTTCTCAGTAATAAATATTATTCCTGTGAAGGAATAGTCTGATGCTCGTTTGTAGCCTTTTATAAAAAAAAAAAATCTAGACACATATGAACTAGAAAGGATTATAATGAGTTCTATCTTCAGTGATTGGTAACTTACAGTCTTGCTTTTGATTGTCTCCTGCTATTCTTCTTCCTCTTTCTGTATCACTTTGATGCAAATGATATATCATTTATTAAAATGTTCAGTAGTGAAACTCTGATAGGCAAGGGTTATTTTAAAAATGTAACCCTGAATTGCCATGTTAAAAGTAAGATTAATTCTTTAATACTATAAAGCAACCATTCTTTCGAAAACTTTTACTTATCTCAAAAATATGCTTACACGTGTATAGTTTTTATGCATTTTTTTTCTCATTTTGAGCCAGAGCTGAAATAAAGTGCATACTTAGTTTATTTAAGTCTATTTTAGTGTATGGTTTCTTCCACCCATGCCTTTATTTTTTATTTTTAATTTTCCTTGTAATTTATTTATTAAGACATGAAGTCTTTCGTTCTCTAAAGTTTTCCATGGTCTGGATTTTGCTGATGTAGGCAGTTTGTTAAAACAAGTCCCGGAGTCTTAGTGGGAAAGGGAGGACAGACAGAATCCGAGATGCAGGAGGAGAGTGAAGGAGCAGACCCTGGAACTCGGGGTCTGCCTCATGTCATCACGACCACAGTGCCTACTCCTTCTCTATGCTGGTGAAAGGCCACTAATTTTGTAAGACACACTATTTTTTTTCCTCTTGGTATTTTTAGAATACCACTTCTGAGATGTTTGGACTCATATAGGCCTCTCCACTCGGGGCAGAAGGTACCATAGGCCCTTCTGAAGTAAACTTCTCAGTTGGGAGAATGAGACTATTGTTTGATGGGACATAAGTGATTTGGTAGAATTTAGATTAAACAGCGTGCATAGATTATTAATTCAAGTCAGAAGTGGAAGCTATAAATACTATTTATAACTGTTACAAGTTATCCTTGGTATCTAAAGGTGCAAATAGTGTATCTTGATGTCTGCATCAGCTAGGAAGTCAGTGTACTTAACCAGGATCCTTAAATTACAGTAGGACACCACAGAGAACTGACAGAATCACAAAGACCTACTCATTGCCGTATACCCGACATTCCTACAGTAAGGAAACTAAGGAGTTTTCTTGTCCATTAGGTGTTACTGGTTTCCAGAGAGCTGTAATTTAACCTGAAAATATTTTAATTTTATATAGCTCTTATTATTATTATTTTTATTATTTGATAAATAGATAGACCTGTTGGCACTGTAAGTACCCATGGATACATTTTAGGAACTCCCATTGTCTTTCAGAAATAACATCTGGATGCTTTTTTTTTCCCTGTGTGTGTGTGTGTGTGTGTGTGTGTGTGTGTGTGTGTATAATTCATTTCTTGACTCATTAAAAGGATTTTATTCACTGGAGCTGTTGCTATTTAGCATGTTAAAATAAGTCAAGGCCATGGGGATTTAGAGATAAAAGACACAGTTCTAGCCTTTAAGGGGTTTACAGGCAGCTGGGACAATGAGTGAGTGGATGAACAATTACTCCTTGCCCTTCAGTCTTGAGGTGATTGCAGACTGCTGTGGAAACAGCAAGCCCGGCATCTAACCTCTCGAGCAGTCAGTGGGCTCTCCCAGGATGTGCTGTCTGATCTGTTTTGAGACTAAGTTAAAGAATTGGCCAGATTACAGAGAGGGAATGGGTATGTCCAGCAGAGGGGACAGCAGATATGGAGGCACGTGGAAGTCAGGACTTGTATTCGTTAACTGTAGATGAGATATTTGGGGACTGGAGTGAAGAGAGTGTAGCTTCTAGGTGCTGCAGCAAGGTCTTCACTTTCTGAGGAGTTGGGACTAGCTGGCTAAATTCATGATCCTAGGTTATAGTCCTAGTGTCCCAGAAGAATCATTGTAATTCCTAAGAGTGAGCAGGCTTAATTAGTCATTTTTATTCACTGATAAACGCCCGTTCATATCATTAAGCTTCGTAGAACTAAGCTCCCAAACATACTGAGTACACTTTGCCTGAGCGGCATTTACAAAGCACCCAGATCAGTGCTGGGCATACACTGAGTCTCCAAGAGTCTGTTAAGTAACAGCACCTCCCTTGGGCAGCTGGAAGACTGTTTAGAGATTTTATGACATCATTTGAATGCAAATGATGCCCTAATGACCTGAATTTAACACATTCCCTGAAGTTACAAATTACTCAAGTTTTACATAATGCAGTGAAACTGAATAGCCTTAGTAAGACAGACCTTATAGGCCCCTTAAATTAGTTCAGAAATGACCTCTTACCTGACAAGCTCAAGCAACTGACCGAGGGAAGATAGTCACCTATGTAGTCTTAAATGGTTCCGTTCTTCAAGCCCACAAAGACTAGGTGAGTACCAGGCTTCTTTTATTGATGTGAACTTGTTTCAGCTTTCATCCATAAATGGGAATCGAAAGCTTTTGTTATAGAAGAAACTTTGTTTTGGTTCTGTTGGAATGATGACAGTTTAGTGTGAAATGGTGACTTTGTTGATACAAGTCCATATTGTGAAGTTTTTGTTTGTTGTATGATGAGTTAAGTTACTCCATTATATGCTAATTCATATTGTAAGTGGGAGGATCAGTCCATGCAGAAGCTTATTATGCCATAAAATACTAGAAATTATAGTCAGCATAATCATAGTTGATTGTGGGTAACCTTGTGTCTTCGAGGTTGTCAAATATGAAATAGTTCCAAGCTTGGAAAATAGCCCTAGGAGATTCAAAATACTGAGTCTTTTTTTTTTTCCTCCTGTCCTGACAGTATATGCTAAAAGAATTTCGTGTTTGTGAATAGTAAGGTAAAACGTATTTTTTTTCACCAATTTGTATAAGGTATCATCTACTGGTTTTTACTGATGGTTTAATATTGATAACCCTGTAGTTGTTATTTAGAATATGCTTATTAATGATTGCTCTATTTGCCGGCTAAGCATCATAAATTTACTATAGCATGAGAAATGGGTTACCTGATAACTTATTCTTTTATATAGTTACCTATAAATTCTGTTATTTATTTTATACCAAGTAGTTTTATATTTCTGCATACAACATAATTTCTTCTATCAGAAGTGTTTGTTGTCAGCCAGTAAAAGATCTGCTTTTTCTCATCTGGTCTTCTACAGATTTTTAAGGAATTGTCATGTGGCAATAAGGGTGTGGATCTGTAGTTCCACAGTTTTATAACCGCCAGTGAGTGGGGCAAAAAGCAAAATGAAGGCAGGATGGCCGCAAAAGGTGTGCTCTGGTTTTGTGAATCTTCATACATGTGCTGTAGGATGGGTGAGCGGTCCTTAAAATTATGCTGCTTCATCTGGGAGCATCGGGTCCGCCTGAGAGTCAGTTGTCTGCAGTACAACTTCCCCAGGGGAAAAGGGCTCCTAGGAATTACAGCTTTGAGGGTAGTTTGCAGCATAGCACAGATCTCTTTTGCTAAACTAAGCAGCTCAATATTAATAAAGCTAGGCTATAAGCAGCAGGAAAGAGATGTTTCACAGTGCGTATTTGTAACCTACCAATTTTTGTAAAAATTGAATAAAGTAAAAATAAAAATTGTAATATCCCTTAAGTATTTAAAAATAAGCTTCTTTTAATTTTATATCTATCTATCATCTGTTTATCTATCTATCCATCATCTATCTGTCTCTCTCTCTCTCTCTCTCTCTCTCTCTCTCTATCTATCTACCATCTATCATCTATCTATCATCTCTCTCTACCTATCGTGTGTGTGTGTGTGTGTGTGTGTGTGTGTGT